CGAATTAGCTTTAAAATTTTAGCATCCATAACACCTGGGTCCTGGATACAACTTCACGTAACAAAATTTATTACATAACTTCGTTAACTAAGACTGATAGACAGTTTTATTCTCTTACATTTATTATTCAAAATGTAACGAATACTATTTTATGCTAATACTAGCTGTGTCAGCGACTTTGTCTGCATAGAATAGTTACTTTAGCCAACTTTCTCTTCATCTTTATAAAGTTAAAGTAAACATATACAATATTAGTCGCGTCCAAAGTTAATCTTAAAAGATAGACGTATAGTGTCGCGGACATTTTTTTAGACCAATTAAAAAGAATTTATTACTTTAGCCATATTTTTTGAGTATCTTGAACCCTTTTCGCAGCGTACGCATCGGAAACCCACAGAGATGAAAATGTTCCCCCGTTTTGTTCATATTTCCCGCTGTATCTTTTCTTCTACGAGTATTAATCAAGAATCCATAGTTCTTGAGATTAGCGCGTTCAAACAAATAAACAAACTCTTAATTTTTTATATTAGTATAGGTAGTACCTACGTATGGTCTAAAGGATTGGTTCGAGAAAGACATTCATAACGGGCAAAAGAAAATATAATATGCGTAATGTCGTTTTCTCTTCATTCGTGGCTGCAAGATATGAGATAATCTCGGCGGCGGTGATTATGATTAAGCGCCACCAGGTGAGAAAAGAGTGTTGCGAATAAAATTAAAATTACATTTTCCGCGATCTCATTATACGCGTTAGGGAGTACGGATTTTATTTTAGACTACAAAACACTCGGTTGTTTCTTAAAAATTGAATCAACTGTAACTGTATGTTATGTATATTAAATAAATCATTTATATAAAAGACCAGAGATTGGAAAGGATTTCCTCAGAATGACTATGGGTGAACACATATCTGTGTCCGGTTCACTGGTTAATTTTACTTACAGGAAAATTATTAAACAGACTTCTATGCCCTGTCCTCCTAATAATAACTTTACTGACTCTTTAATGACGTGTGATGAATTAATATTTTGTCTATCAACAAAATATTAATTCATCACACGTCATTAAAGAGTTAGGTTTTTCACCGAATTACTGTTTTAGGTTAGGTTATTGTTTTAGGTTCTGACTTGTATAATGACTTATAACTTTATGAGGGTGATAATTCACATATACAGCCGTGGTCTCCCCGTGACCACGGCTGCTGCAGAGCATGCGAAACGTCGGGCTGAAGTTAAAAATCATTTCCAAATAAGTTTAACTAATATATCGCGTTTTAAACCGTTAAAGTGTTTTATTTAAATGTGTACTACTCGCGTATAGACAGTATGTTTTACGTTGTATTTTCCCTATCCCGCATAATACGCTTTCTCTGAGAAATCGTCTAAAGCGGGTTTTACTGTAATTTGTTTAAACATTGATCAGTTTAATCGACAATATAAGTTTGGATATCGATAAACGTATGTTATTTTTAACAGAATAATATATGTTTAGATATAAAATATTTTGTCTTGAATGATTTATAAATTTAGCGCGGAGAAGTTTTTAGATAAGAGGTGTTTCTCTAAATTTATATTAGACTGCATAAACGGATGAAATAGAGGCCATAGTTAGATACATTTTTATGATTAAGGCGAATTCAAACTTTGAATATTTGTTATTTATCTAACAAAGAGAAATGTGTGTAGAGAGGATAATTATTTTATAATTATTTGTAGTGATAAATCACATAATATAAATATTATGTGTAGACGAGTACAGAAGCCAGGTGGTTTTAATAGACGTATTTGTCATCCGTGAACACCAAAATGCTACCATTTATCACAAACTGATATTTGCAATTCCCCGTATTACTGCCTGAATTATGGTCTTTAACAAAATAATTACTATATTCAGATTACGACTTTTATGCTGAAAATATTTGCACATTCAAGAATTTTTACAATTTAAGTGGCTGTTACTATATTTATAATAGACCGACGAGCAGTTCAAATAGTGTATTGTAGTAGTAGTTGTGTTGTTAAAACGGAATAGATAATACATATTGTATTTAAATGATAAAATACAATATTATATGACCAATGCTCTAGATATGTTCATCATTACAAGTAAACAGTTGGTATATGTACGTCGTTTGGTTTAGTAAAGTTTTTATAAGGTACGCTGGAGAGCTGGTGTCTTCACATAACGAACACCTGCGACCTCATCTACATAATGTGGACAAGTCACTGCACCCAGAACGGATGGACACAATTCGGACTGGTTTTTCCTCTTACAATTTTCTCAACTTTCATTGCGTCAGTTTTATTCATGATTTTTAATACATCTTCCGTATGTTCTAAATAACTAGGACATGGTATATATTATTTTAAAAATCGAAAATATGTAAATTGAAAAAAAATTTAGACTCGGGCAGGACTTGAACCGGCATCGTCAGCGTTCCGTGCTGTTGCTCTACCAAAGCTACTAAGTCCTACACCTCATCGGCGAATTTTTTCAACTTATTGATACATGTCGCGCATCATTTATATTGCTGAACAAGAATACTGAAGTAAGTTCTGCTTTACATACCTATAAGCTTTAGTCATTAATAAATAACTGAATGACGAATCAACTCACAGCCTAATAGGATTAATTTAAGAGGTGTTTCGTATAGTGTTGGTCAAAAAAGTCATCTCCTAACGTAATTACGTACATATAGATTAAAATATAATAATTCTATAGAACCATGCGCTCTACCAGTTACCAAAGCTAAATAAAATCTGCAATAGCAAATAAAAGTAATGAATTTACCGATTCACATAGAGTTTTTCTATCAACGCAAACAAGTATTCAAATATTCGACACTTGATTTTCTTTGTTTATAGAGTCGTTACTAAAATGTGTACCGAAATAAATGTTCACAGCTTTATATAAAGGGTGGAGGAATCAAACAAATAAAACTTTTACAGAGACTTTCCTTTTATTCGTTGCATGTTTCTCGCAAACAATATAATCTTTCTTCTTTGATAGCTAATAAAAAAGATGAAACGCATTCGCTTACATATAAAACATAATTATAATTAAAACACATCAATCTGGACACGGTAGCTCAATTGGTTAGAGAAACAGCACGGAATGAATCCAAGTCTTACCGCTGTCGTTTTTTTTAATTTATAATCGTTTTTTAATTTAAATAGTGCCATCATGCACATGTAAAAAATGATAAAATTTACAAATGCCAATACTTGTAATTCTTTAATATTTCTGTCTCATTAGAAAATTGTTTGCTTTTGAATAGCTTAATGTTTCCAAAACAATAAATCCATAAACATTGATTTGATAAAAAAAACTCTTGTTAAATACTTACTTCTTGTCTTATCATTATGTCTTTAATACTAAATATATTGATAAAATAAAATATAAAAATCACGTTCACATAATACACATATATACGTTCGAATATAGCAAAGGTAAGATAACAAAGTTATCTTCTATTATTTTTAAAGATCGAAAAGAAATGAAGAAAAAAATCTATTTTTAAATTATATAGTGCCTTCACGTGCAATAACATGTAAAAAATAATAAAGTTTTCAAACGTTATCTTATATTAGTTGAAAATTACATATAAGTCCTAAATCCTGGTATTAATAAAAATGCTAAGAAAGTCATAGTGATAGTGATAGTTTTGTGATAGTTTTAGTATAATAAACACAAGCAAACACTAACGTGTTTGCTTGTGTTTATTATTCCTTACCTACCCACTTAATAAGTCTTTTTCTATTTCTTTTCTCCGGTACGTTAGGTTGCCTGGAAGAAATCGCTGCTTAGCGATAAGACCGCCTTTTATTTATAAGTTAGTATGTAAGATTTTTCCTCCCTTATAAGTTTTTTTATGCTATGTGTTATAAATAATAAAGCTATAATAAATAAAAAAATTAACACGTTATACAACAGTATCCATTTCTTCTTCTGTTTTTCTATAGAAATGTTTTGAAAAACGTCGTTGTGGCTTCAATTAGAGCTGGTTGTAATTAGTCGGGTGGAGTCCGCGGTGCCAGCGGTCGACGTGCGCCGACGTTTGCTTTTCCAACAAGATTGATTACCTGGCTCAGTGGCTCACATACTGATCACAATGAACAATCCCCCGGGACAGCGCGTTGATATTTCAATGAACTGAACAACTGACTTCAGCGTTCTACATTTCAGCAATGACATAACCTGAATTGTGGTGCCTAGATTTTGGTGCGTAATAATCTCAGTGCTTCCTCAGAATTGTTCAAGTTAAAAAGTATCTTAGTATCAAACAAATGGAACGATGATACTTTGATATTTTTTACGTGTTATTTGCAATGATGGCACTATATAAGTTAAAAATAAATAGAAAAAAAAATCGAATCGGGCAGCACTTGGACCGGGAATTACATATAATAAATTAAACACAATTCGACTATGAGGTGTGGGACTCGGTAGCTCAATTGGTTACAGCAACAGTACGGAACGCTGACGATGCCGGTTCAAGTCCAGCCCGAGTCGAATTTTTTTTCAATTTATTTTGATTTTTAATTTTAATTTAATGATACCGGCCGGAACCGAAGTCGTTATTCGATGCTATAATTTGCTTGGCGGTCATCTTTTCTTTACAATTATCATCTGTATTAACATGTAAATGTTTTCAACATTTAATAAAAACGTACGTAGTTTAAGCATTAGGCAGCGTTGCTTCCAATATATATTTGATAGAGTAAGCTGACGGTTAAAATGTGACATTTAAACACAAAATTTTCTTAATAAATGTTATTATAGTATATTGCAAATATGAAATAAGTACGAATTAAAATACATTATTGTTTCAGCGTTTAGAATTTTCATTCAGATGTATTTCAATCTTGGCTAACTTTATACTCTCCATACAAATGGCTCATGACCTGACGTTTTGATGCACTGGATTTGTTTTTACGAAATTTCTTCTTTAGAAAATCCTTGCAAAATTCTATATAGTTATTCGTACATGAGGTGTATAATCATCGGCATAGTTCTGTGTCTGTTTCATGCATAGCGCAAGGTGCGTCGGGTGCAGATAGGAATAGTTTTCCAGATGCGCAAGCGCATAGTTGATAAACTTTTTTATTTCTGGAATTTTTTGAAGCCTTGTCTGTTATTGTCGCTTCTTTGAGGTTATTAATGATTATATTAGGTGCGTCAATTCTAATCTGAAATGAAACGAAGCGTAAATTATTTCGAGTTACTAATTATTGTCAAACTAGCTGTGTCAGCGACTTCGTCCGCGTAGAATAGTTATTTTGGGTATTCAAATTTGTTTTTGCAAACCTACTCCTCATCTTCTCAGTAAATGGTATAACCAACTCAAAAATAATTATTCAATTCGAACCAATTGTTTCTGAGATGAGCGGTTTATATATTAGTATAGATAGAAAAAAAATCAACTTCGTAGTCATTCACGGTTTGTTCTTTCAAGTTAAAGTATAACATATTCAAGTATACGTAAAGAAATACTATTTTACTATTATACAATACTATTATTTCGTGACTTTTTATTTCATACTATGATTGTACAAATATCTACAAAAAAAATAGTTATTTTACGTGGAATAAGATAAAATGCTCCCCTTATGGTAATGAAGTCTCAGAAGTGTCCAGTGCCGCAGTCACGTGTCAATTATAATGAAAAACTCATTATTTTGTTTACAAGTATAACTTGTTTTGGTTTATGAAATTACATACAATATGATAAACGATGAAAAAGAAAATATATATTGGTATTTAAATAAAACACTTTTTACGATTTAAAACGCGAAATATATTAGTGGCAGCTGTGGGCCTAGTCCCCGTATTAACGGCTGCTGCAAAGCATCCGAAGCAGCGGGCGTAAGTTTGAATAAATTAAAAACAATTCAACTAATATATTTCGTGTTTTAAACCGTTTAAAGTGTAATTCCTTTTTCAACATTTATTCTCTTTGTATGTAATGTCATAAATATATGTACACACGTAAACTACAGACAATGCTACACGGAGGTATATTTTTATTAATATCGTGTGGGCTCTGTTTCAAGAATGGGTAAGCTACAAAAACATCTGATCATTTCAACAAGAAAATATAATAAGATATAAAATATAAACTGAATAATTTTACTTAACAGTTAAAGAGTTCGTTTCAAGACATCACGCTGTGACTAATAGCAGCGAAGAAACAGCAGGAAATGTGGAAAAACTGCTAAAATTATTAACTTCTGTGGGTTTCGTATGCGTACGCTGCAAAAACCGGTTCATGACACCGAAAAAATATTTATCATATAATGATTCTCTTTTATATGATCTAAAAAAATATCCGCGACACTATATGTCTATCTTACAAGATTAACTTGCAAGAACGACGGCAAAAACAAATTTGGTGGTTTTGGAAATAAACATTCTACGCGGACGTCGCTGATACGGCTAGTAAGTTATTAACATACGAAAACTGATAGTGTTGCAATGTTATTTCTTTTCTAGTCAGTAGTGACTTACCGCACCGACCACAGAATCCAACTTAATATTATTGTGCGAAGTAATATCGATGCTACCAGCTCTGCTCTCTAAATATATTGATTGAGGTGCTCGCAGGTCTAATTTCCTTGTCAGCGATTCTAATCTGTAATGTATGAAAATAATACAGGTCTCAGCTGTAATGATGTAATAACACTCGCATTAAATAAAACCTTTTCGTTCGTTCATCAAATAGTTTAAAGATTACTAAGATATATTTATTTAAAATTAAAAAAAAATATATTTAAATTGGTTTTCTCTCGAGGGCGACATATGAACACACTTCTATGTTCGTTCAAATTACCTGCTATATCCTTTAACAGGCAAGGCAGTACATCAAATAATTGTATCAGAAACGTAAGAAAAAATACGAATTGAGTTCGAATTCAAGACCTCGTTTTATGCAATAATTTAACCATTTATCCTTAGCAGAGATTGTCCAAAATATAATGTGTTTGTGTTTGTGTATCCATATATATATGTAATAACTAAAAAAGTATATAACAATAACAATAATTTGTTATTATTACCAATAACCAAATAATAAATATACAATAACCAAACACGAACATAACAAACTTAACTAAAATCAAGAAAAGCCTGTGGAATTTATAATTAAATTAATAATAATGAATTTTATAATATACATTAAGTTATGTGTGATGCGGGCATTGGTAATAAAATAAAGCTTAGTTCATACTGTAAATTGGATCCTGGTGGTGCTCGTACAAGTGGAGATTGCAAGGCACTGCGGACACCAATCCCACCCTTTCCATCTACAGCAAGCGTTTCAGCGAACACGCGAACCTCATCTTTCGATGCGTAGAAAACTCGCTTTCCCCTTGCGTCTTGCACTTCGAAAGCATTTCCACTACACTTTACGGAATCTCTTTCTGTAACATATTTTATGTAGTTAATAAATATAATTCTATTTTCGAACAAGTACTTTGAAATGTACCAATAAATATAACTATTTTTAGATGTTTATTCAGTTATATGCGTTTTCTTGTGTTTAAAGACTTCAACCAGATTTTTTTTTATAGCTTCACTGGTCTTGTAACATGTTTATATTCTACTTTTTTTCTGCAACTTCCTTTAGAAAATCTAGACTAGATTGAATAATAGACACAAATGAAAAAGCAAAGAAGACTTCCGAATATCAAAGCCATGATACATAATGTTGAGATGTTATATTGCTAAGGTGAACCTCCCATCGAGTGTACCATATTCTTCTCTCCGCCTCTATCACTAAAAATAAAACCAAAGAAGCTTACTTAACACCAATTTAGATTCCTCTTTGAAATCTGGATTTGAGACGAGAACAGTGAAGTTCCTATGTGAATGCAAGGTGACAGGTTGGCCTGTTTGCGATGTTATTGAAGATGCTATCAGCTGGTCTGCTATCCACGCGTTTCCATTTAATTTTACACCATCTTTTATTATCGTTATTGGACCAATACCATTCTGGAATCGAAAGAAATATGTAAATAATAAAAAACGTTGACTATCCAAGAGTTGCCATGGGCTCAACCGAACGACGTGAGCGAGAAGAGGTTATATAGAGGTTAGGTAACAGCCTGAAAGACCGCCTTGAAAGCCATACACAATTTATTAGCCAAGAGTTGTTAAGACGGGGTTCAAATCTCGAAAGCGATGTTTTCGCGTAGGACACAGTTGGTAAATAAAATTTAACGCTGAAATAGAGACTGTGTATGCCTCATACAGTAGGGCCTTACTAACACATTTTAACTCTTTCGGATCGCAACTCCAGAAGATTAGATAAAACCGCGACTCTCTACAAAATACCTTTACGTATAGAGCCACAGCAAAAGAAAGGTGAAGGAATATGGTATTTTACGTCGGGCCTTTCATTTTATAATGATATTATATTTAAACGCAAAGATGACCTAGGGTATTAATAGAGTAAACGCATACAATTTTGATACCTAGGAACCCCTAGGTATGGGAAGTATTTCTGTACCCACTTCATATTAATAAAGTAATTATAGAGTACAATAGCTAGTAATAAAATGTTTGTAAATAAAAAGAAACATCTTCTAAATATGTGATGTGACTTGAGCAAAATAGTTAGTTAAACTTATTTAAGCAAATTAATCTTATCTTCACATGTTTACCCAAACATTATAAACATTAAAACAAAAACACCATAATCCAAGAATCATTTATAACGCGACGTTTTACAAGTAAGTCGCGACGGTTCTATTAAATTTACAAGTAGATATACAATATTTAAGTAAAACACTTTAACGGTTTAAAACGTGAAATATATTAGTTAAACTTATTTAAAAAATATTTTAGTCTCCACGTGTGACCACGGCCATTGCAAAGCATCCGAAACGTCGGGCTATAGTTAAAATAATTTTAAGTAATATATTTTGCGTCATAAACCTAATTTATTTAAATGTGCCCTACTCGTGTAAACTGCAGACGGTATTTAAGTATATACTATTGTCTTACCTTTGTCAGTCTCAAAGTGCTTATAATCCATAAAGTAAGTGCGAGGTTTAAAAATACGAGGATCATCAAAAATACGATTAGACCGTACAGCGAGGTGCGCCGCCACCCTTTCAAGACAACTGGTAGACATTTGGCATTTTTAGCATTCTCAGCTGGTTGATTCGGTTGTTCACCAGTCGGTGTACATTCCCAACCGCGAACACCATCAGTAGTTGTAGCCTCGACTTTCATTTTCACCCAATAATCTGAATTCAGCCTGCAACGAATAACCACAGACAATAGCAATTAGAATCAAATGGAGAAGCGATGTCGATGCGTAATGCGTTGTAATTTATTCATCCATGCCACGGTGTGACAAAAAGCATAACGTTAAATTGAGATTCCTGCAGATATGTGTAGGCAGTAAAGTGGTGTATTTCAAGAGGCTTTTGTTCCGCTTTCATAATGTGAAGCGCGGTGTATAGAGAGTTGCAGACTTATGTGAAACCGATAGCTTCAGGTCACTAGATTGGTCTTTATGTCTTCTAGTTTAGACGGAGGCATTGTGGAATAAAAGTATGACTATCGCAGAAAGTTTGGTATAAAGTCGCCTTTAATAATTATGCTTAAGTTCCTATCGCAATAATAATCATAATGCTGCTTAAACAATTAGAGTGTTTTTAATAAAAAAAATAACTACGATCAAAAGGATTAGTGCACAATATGAATTTGAGTATGAGCTTTTACTAGGTGTTCATAGTAATTGTCTATAGTTTACTTGAATTGTACAGATTAGTAACAATTTTAACGGTTTAGAACGGATAATATAAGATTTAATAAAACGTTCAAAATTTTTTAAAATTACAAAACTTAAAACGAGAAAGAAAAATACTCAATAATTTAGTTTGTACACTGACTGAAGTGACAACCCATTATAGTTGATTCACATTTCTCACTTCTAATTTCTTGGTCATATATAATACGTTATATCCACTTACAATGCACTAAGCCTTTATTATTTAACAATGCATGTGTCTGTCAGACTCTCAATTATTCACGTTTTATTTAGAAGTCACATAAAACGCCAGCGTCGTATTGCAATTTGTGACAATATACGATGCAGTAGACTAAAATTTAGGTGTTGTGTCCAATCTATTAACTGACCAGAGCAACGATCTGCACTTTAGTGCTATTTTCATGCAGACTGTAATTTCAAGTGACAGGTGTTTTGAGGAAATAAAACTGCGACTATTGTTTCATTTTAAGGAGGTAATTTTCGTTTGTTACTCGAAGCCTAGTATTTATAAATGCACGTATCGATCGAATTCAAGACACTAAGAACGAATTGAGTTACTTAAATCACAATTCGACTTAACAGTGTGAATATTATTCTCTGAAATTGCGAGTATCATTTTTAGAATTAAAAAATAATCCTCTGTATTTTGAATTTGTTGCGGAAGCTTCGTAGAGCTTTGTCGGTAAAAGCTTTTATGTCAATACTACAGTGCACACTTTCGACATTCATTAATCTCTATAAATTGCTATCAGTGGGTCATTTCAATATCAAGTGCCTAGTGTGCATAAAATAAAACCCTTATGAATCTGTGTAATATCTAAAATTCATGTGCAGTGGGTCATGCAGGTTAGGTTGTATATAAAATACTGAACCTGAAATGTCGTAATTAAGAGCTCCACGTGTATTACGGCCGTTGGTCGTTTATTAACGATGCAAGCGGCTGCACCGGGCGAGTCGCATGACGGAGACTAGATAAACTCATAGGTGCTAGAAGTATCACTCGAAATATCTAACGCGGAGCGAGGTAAGGCGGGCGTGCTCCAGAATATAATATCAGGCGGGCAGAGTGGCCCGAGCGACTCCCGCGCGGGGCCGCCCTCGGTGCATCGGCCCTCGTAATAAACGATATACACCTAAAATAGAACCGAAACGGATATATCGCCGAGCTTTCCGCGTAAATAAAATACTGACGTCCGCTGAATTCCTGTCTTTGTCGGTCGCGTTTTTGTTCTCCGAACGGCGGCGTTCAATCGATATGTCAGCGTTATATTTAAAAATAAAGCAAGCGCTTCGCCATTTCCGACGGATGATATTTAATTGCCCTCCATGTCACACACTAGTCGCTGAGAGCGTTCGCAAAATATTATGACGATCGCGAAATGTACCAATTATAAAAAATAAATCCACTACACGAAAAGTACGTTGTGCGAGTGAAAAGTAACTTTATGGCACATGTGTATTCCGTTCAGAATAGTATCGGATCACTGTCGACGGGAACACTTGTACACGTTGCATACACTGTACATTTTTAACGACACAAACACGACGACTGTATTTTATAGAAGACAATGTTTACTTAGGCAGAGCTGATGGAAGTAGTATTCCGTAGTGAAGGTAGAACGCGACTGAAGTCAGCGGAGGCAGTGTGCGCGAGCGACGCCTGTGTCGAATTCAACTCGTTGTGAAGTTGTGCATTTTTAAAGAGGCGCTGTCTCGCGTGGGACATAATTCGGATACGCTCCAGATTCATCTGGGGTACCCCACTCTAATATGCATTCCAGTTAATATTGTCATTAATAAATATATCTTCACATTTCGTCAATACTTTGTAAGATAACCGATAACCTAAATGTGAACTTTTGTACCCGTTTATTTAATGTCAAGTTTATCAATAGCATTTGGTTTTAATATCGTGCATTTGAGTTTTAATCTTTTACTAAACTACACATAAAATGTATGGTACAATGATGTTTTAATAGTGAAGCGGTATGAACGCAAACTATAACACCGCGGTATAGGATAACTCTCTCGTCTTTATGAATGAATAATGCCGTTATTTCGAGTTGTATCATACAATCTGCCGTATGACAACCTCGTTGTTTGTTAATTATATTTTGCAAAACTTCACCGGGATACTTTTGTTTGTGAACGTTAAAAGGAGCTTACGTTTTTTATAAGCTATTCGAGTCGAGTAGTTTGAAACGCAATAATTTAAACGACGCGGACGATACCACAATTTAGTTATGCGAATGTTTTAATGACGTCTTTAAGAGTGATTACAGCAAGGAAATAGTTGGCGTAGAGTTGGTTTCTTGAACATTAATTATTTTGCTTTGCGAGTCCACATTGCATGTGTTTGTGAGAATTTTTTGCGGGCACTGAAACCACTGAAAAAGATTTTATTTATGAGTTCATTTTACGGTAAAGGATTTATTTTAGTTCGTTGTAACCTAATTCTGAAGTAAAGACATGTGATAGGTATATTAATGTAAGTATAAATATTTTTCTTGTATAAAATGAGATAAAAGTGACCCCTTTACCTTTTAAGAGCTGGCACACGTTTTGAATAATATCTAATACCTTACTTTAACGTTTTTTGTTTTTTAACTTGCTTGTAAATTAAGTAAAAGACAGGGTCTCGGAGCAGATATATCTGTGTGTTCGTTGTACTCATAAATTTGATTTACAAATATGAGACACAATAATCATTCTTGTGCCAACGCAACTTAAATTTTTTTTTGTTTAATATGGAATTGATCTCGCGCCTATCGCAATGCACGGAAACGAGTCGAGCAACTGAATCGCGGTGGCGTTATAGTTATGCGCATACAAATAAAATAGTCGTATGTTGGTTAAATTCTATTTTAGTCCCGTTCGATCACACGTCCAAAGCCCCGAAAAATCACTGTAGCGCCTCGTGGCACTACTGAAATCGTCTTAATCATCTATATATTTTGATACTGAAATCTAGTGAATTTGTGTAATGGTAGTACTGTTCGGCTTCTAATCAACGGGTCGTGGATTCGATCCCTACCGGGTCCAACATTTTTCTCATCAACTTATAATTTCTCTGAAACATGTTTTACTTCGTCTGGAAATCTGGATATTGAATGGGTGGTAGAATCTGGATATTCCGTCCGGGTCACAAACCACCGTACAAGCGCCGTGAAGTTTAATCATGTTTCGGTTTCAGTCTGTGGATTTCCGAATATCCAAAGCCAAAATAGGTCGACAGCGTATTGTTTAGATGTTATATGGCTGTAGTATTTCGACATTCACATTTCACCAAATGAACCACATGCTTATCTGTCCCCCTCTTTAATTAAATAAGAGTTGATTTTCCTATTGTTTGTAAATACAGTGTTAACGACCAGATTTCATTTGACTAACATCTGCCACCGTACTCTTGTAGTAGATGTTATATGGCTGTGGTATTTCACCTACCATTAAGGGAACCTCTTGCTTGTCTGTCCTCTTCTTTCATATAAAACTAATTTCCTTTCTACATTTCCAAGTTAAAGTTTGCGTACAGATAAAAGATTCCCCCCGAGTCTACAGAATATAAAAGAATTTATCCTTTAAGTGTAAGTAAACGGGTTCGTTTATCAAACGCTCGATGTCCGAGAGCAACGATGAAATCGTATTGAATGTCGCCGAATGTTTTCATCGAAGTTTTATTGAGCTGATAAATGTGGGCCTCCGGGGACCGTGTGCCGGCACTTTTGAGATAGCTGAAGGGACCACATCGCACTTTACTGATCCTATCAAAGGAATGCCATGGAATGCTAAGTAATGCATTTAGTTATGCTTTATGCTTTTTATATAGGCTCACAATAATCTTGAGAATTTATTTACCGTCTCTGCAACTCATTGCTTTAACGTGTTGTGAAGCATTACGTTAATTGTCCTAGATTGTAACAATGTAACAATTTGTTCCGGTTGTAGAGTACAGAAGTTTGATTAAGTACTTACCTGTATCTAAATAAAATCGATCAGTGACAGGAATTGAGAAATGAGTCCTTTGTACTTGAATGCCCCACACTGGAGTTTTTCCGTACGACACTACTATACCAAACAAAACGCATAAAAAAGCAAAGCGGAATTAAAAAACAAAATATTTACCTTAATTACCTATAATAGACATGGATTAAACAAAAATAAAACATGCCACTATATCCTATTTATAATTTTCAGTAAATAAAATCTTTTTAAAATGTTAAACACGAATAAAGTTATCTGTGTTAATAACGACTAGAAATATAAAAAAAATGGTATAGTCTATGACTAAGATGCAGGCGGGTCTTGACCGGATACATAATTATTTTTTATAGACTCGAATGAACGATAACATATCTATAGAAGGCTAAAGCGTTCTTATATATTGTATAGGATATTTGTTAAATGTATGCACGTCATGTTTACAAATGCAAATGTTCTTAACAATTGACTGATGTCA